GAGGTAAAGATGAGATCCAACCTGTAGATACTATAAGGATAAAAGGTAGAATTTGGTGAGTAAATCTAATCAGCACCAAACTGCCTGGTACAGTATGCACAAAGCACAACACAAAGCACAGCACAAAATGAGTTTAGGCCTACTTCAATTTGTTCTGCAAAACATTTCACAAAAACATAATTCAGCAGCACAGTATGCATAGATTCAATATCTGACTTAAAAACTTTAAAACGAATTAGAACAATGGATTTGGTGAGCAGTCCTAACTTTTGAAAATAACCTCTCATCTTCCTTTCCTGTGCGCAACACTAAGAGTGGGAAACTCAACATTCGCTAGCAGGCACGCTGTGCAACAAACTGCACCGACACAGTTTGTGTGTTTGGTCATGTTTGTCAAGCTGTTTGAAAAGTTCCAGTGGAAAGGACTTGGCACCTAAAAAAAATGCATTTATGCTTGCTTCTCTTCAGTAGCTCTTATCTGGATGCTGAGTATCATAGCATGACTGAAACGTTTTTTCTTACATCTGCACCATAAACGCATCACTGGGAAGAGAAGGCCAAATGAATTCACTGAAGATGTAAGCAGCCCGTGGGCTAACAATATTTTCTTATTACTGTGCAAGTGTTTCCATACCGCCGCGGGAAGCAACAAGAGTCTGCAGCACAAGTAAGAATGGGTTCATTTGACAGTCATTCGCATTATTAACCTGTCTACAAGTTTCTATTGCTCACTAATCGAAGGGGCAGAATGCCATTCTGGATCATTTCAGCCCAGTTTAACACTTTTTTATAATTGCAATGGGATTAAAAAGTCCCAAACACACTTATGTCTCAATCGTGTCTAATACTCAGTACCCCAGAACTGCTAAACACAAACTAGCTGGAAAGCTGTCTTAAGTGAAGGGTAAAGTGACCTTAAACAGCTTGAATCAGACCGTTGATGAGTCGAATGACAATTAGATAAATAAGCTACTAATGCTGTCCAGGTAGAAGCGTGTAGTTGTAAATGAGCATTTAGTACACATCAGCTGTTTGCTGCAGTTAGATAACTTGGTCATTTGAGATTAATAGCAAGAATCTCCACTCAAACCACTGAATAACGCCAATGATTTTAATTGTGTTCCACTTTAAACCAATGTGTGAGAGTTAATTATTAGAACTTTCTGTGTGGCTCTTATGCTGCTGATAAAAAGGCTGTAAACTATTAAACCCAGAGTGTCCGGTTTGTACGTAAATGTGCACG